TTTCTTATTTTAATATTTTTATAATTTTATTATATTTTTTGTTTTTAATTTTTTTAATTGTATTACATATAAATAAAATTTGTTATAAAAATTGACCTTTTAATTATTTTTTTAAAATTAGTCTTTTTGATAGATTAATCTTATACAAATTTTTAATCTAAAATTTATGTTATTTTGAATTTATTTGTTCAAAAAATAAGGTGCAGGTACTATTTAAAACATAAGATTAATTACCTGTCTGACCAAATCCAAACAAAGATGGTACTTGATGTCCCTTCTTAGTCCTTCGGGGAGATTTTTGATCATCTGGCATTCATCAACCCCACGCATGGCAGCCCAACGCTGGCGCTCATAGTTTCTCACGCGCTGCCGGAACCCTTGCGGCAATCGCCTTTTGCTCATCCACCATTCGATGTTCCTCATCTTCAATTGCATTGCTTGCTTCTTTGATGTCGTAGCATGCAAAAACACCTACACTCGCCTCACCAAAATTTAACTTACACGTCACCAACATGCACCATATCTACCTAGTTAATTTAATAATCATATGCTGCTCCCACCATAACTAATTAATTAACAGTTGGATCGTTTTCTTATTATGTATATGTGCATGTACCTTGATGTTTCCAATCAGCATAGTGACTAGAAGGAGGCCACTAGTCAACACAATAATGTTGAAAATCACTTCTAGCCGCTCCGTTGTGCTCTCTAGGTTCCCAAAAGTGCTGGTCACATCAACAATCAACAATCAACAATCAACAATCAACAATCAACAATCAACAATTTAGTAGGGAGCACGATGTTAGAGTAACTATGAAGCAAAAACTACATCAACGTGGATCCAAATAATAGCAACACCCTGATTTGATATTTCTTGACGCTGAAATGCATATATGCACCACTTACGATGCCCATATAATTGCATTTTCTTCAAAATTAGTGTAACATAAGTTGTTGGAGATTTAACATCGCTTAGTAATAAAATTAAATTAGTGTAAATAAATGAGGTATAATTTTCATAGTTTTGTAAAATTTAATTAGATTCTAATTATGAATTGATAATAACTACACGTCTTTTTTTTTTTATAGGTTGGATTAGACTCTTAATTAACTCATTTTTTAAGACAATAAATAATCCTTACCTTAAAAATTGTTTAAGTTAGACCCACTTTCTAAATTATATGTAATTCTCCTTTAGAGTCTATTTGATACAAACTTAAACATATTTTTGAAAGATTTTTTTATCAAAAAATACTCTTTATTTTCGATAGAAAAATTCTTTAAAACGTTTCTAATTAACTTACATCTAAACATACTCTTTATCTACTATTTTAACATAAATAATAATTATATATCTCCGAATAATAACATGCATAAATGTGCTTTAATTTGGGTAATTTCAAAAGGAAAAACTTATTTTATATTTAAAAAAAGGGCGTAAAAAGGCAGTGGAAAAATGGTCCTTGAAGCGATGGTATTGTTGAAAAGTTAGAAAATAATTTTAGGAGGAGAATATACAGCATATATGGACATGGGCCTGACAATTTTTGTATCAAGCTTTTAGCTGTCACTATAGAATAGATCATGAGCGAAGAGAGAGCGAGATAAAGGCGTTTAATAAAACAAAGGTTCGTCAAAAGAGTACAAACATAAAGCATATGCAAAATCATCATGCAGGAGTGCACCACAAAAGAGAAAAAATAAAAATAAAAATTAAGGGTAGTACCTGAGAGTCATGAGGCCCCAGAAGATAGGGAAAAGTATTTTTTCCAATCGGCTATCATTTGTGACGAGTTGAACAGTCCATTGATATGCACCATAGTCGTAGTTATCAGGACCATCTAAACAAGTAGACCTTGCTTCCCTGTTATTCGCCCATGCCAACCTGGTTTTGTCTGTTACAAAGTTGGTGCCTCCATAGTATATAGGCTCTTTACAACACAGTGTTCTCAAGCCACAACCACTTGCTTTAGCACACTGCTCTTCTAGGCATTTTGCTGCCCTTTGCAACCCCAGCAAGTACCAACATGCACCTGCTGCCTATACACAAAAGGCCACTTACTTAAAGAAGTTTCCCTTGACCTAGAAAAAATAACTTATACCACATATATCACTATCTATTTCCATAAATTCCTCTATAAATACTCCTAAAAGAAGAGAATCAAAAGTAAAAAAAATTATAGCTTAAAGTTATCTGATTTTTTTAAAGGAAAAAGTTAAATGGGAGAGTGCATTTATATAAAAATCAAAGAGTAAATTACAAAGACTCTCTCAAAGTTTTTGTAAGATTGCGCGTAAGTGAAACAAGTCCTTTGGTCATTTAACGTTTAAGTAACTTCCTTACATATGTTGATCAAATGTAATAATTTTTAAATAATTAAAAAAATTAATGTAATATCAAAAGGGTATCGGTGTAATTTTTTAAAAATAATTAAAGGAGTTAGTGTATGTGTAGAACAAGTAGCAATATGTGCAATTTCATGAAATTTTGAGAGGTATTTATGTAATTTACTCAAAATCAACAAATATAAGTTGATTTTAACTTAAAAAAGAAAAAAGAAAAAAAATTATATTTTATAACTGCTTATAAAAAAATTTATTTTATTGAAACATTATCTATATGTCACTGTGTTTACAGGGAACAAATAGTGTGACCACCATTTTGGCTACCCTAAAGGTAGGTTTAATAGGACATTGGTTCTGTCTAGTTGTCAATATTTCATCTTGAAAATAACGGCTATCTACTCTTTTGGACTATTGGGACCATAATCCAAAGTTTGATTACGTTTTGAAAATCTTTAAGCTGAGTTGAATAAGGTAAATTATATTAAAAAAACTTATGGATATTTTCCCCCTAATTATATGTGACTATTCGTCCCGTGGTCACTATTGATTTATTTTTCCTAACAGATAATAATTAATCAACTTATCAGCAGCACGTTGATCAAGAAGTACAGTTATACTATTGTTAACCTTTTTGTAGTCCGGTCTATATTCATATACATTGATTAACTTTGAATTCATTAAAAAAGAATGCGCTCCTTTGAGTCAACTTTCTTGTAAAGGGTTTGTACAACTTAAAGCACCTCGATATCCCCTCTACTTTTGGGTGAATATTCATGTCATTTCTAGATAATTTAGTGAATAGTAAACTCCCTATGGGAAGCCATTGTTCAACAAAATTGCCTTATCGAGAAAATATCGTTTGTAAATTACAATTATGGGAGAGTTTATATCCGCCTTAAGCCCTTAACTATAATGGGATCATTAATCACCCATGTAGATATCTATAAAGCAAGGATTCTAACATACACACTTCAACATGGTTAATGTCCAAAATATAAGTAATTGGGAGAAGACCCGTGGACACACAACGCGCGTAAAAAGAAAAGAAACTCAAATGAAATAAAAAATTATATATAAAACTTAGCAATATAATAAAATATCTAAATTAATAAATATATTTCATATTCTTGATATTTACCTTTATTTTATGATTATGAATCTCACGGTAGAATATTAAGAAATATTATGTTCCAATACAAGCACTTGTTCTATTTATATATACTATGTAGAGATAACGATGGCGTGAAAAGAAATTAAGGTGTGTATGATCACTTACATGGGAAGCTACAAAATAGGCGATGAGGTTGAGGGCGATACCCCACCAAACGGTTCCAAAAACGTAGCCAGAGAGGTTTTGCATGCGACGCAAGAGGCAAACGGAGTGATAAATTTTGGGAAGGTATTGAAAGAGAAACATAATTATGAACACTGTCATCACCAACGTAATTGATCCTTTCTCCAACAGAGAGGGAATTGCCACCCATAACACAATCTGCACATCACAAACATAAATTATACAAATAAATCTTTTGGTTTTTTCCTTCCCACATAACTCTGCCACTGTTGCAAGCCCTATAACTCTATAAGTATAGTATATGAAGCCAATCTCTGAAGAAAAAAATATTAAGAACGTAATTAACTACATAAACTCACAGTTAACAAGAAATTGGTACGTACGTTTTTCACTCGTGTAAAAATGTCATACAAAAATTTGTGTACATCAGTACATATATATATCAGTGTTGATGCTGATGCAGTGGTGCCATCGATCTAAAACAGTCCGAAATGAAAGCTTCAAATATATAAATAAGTTAGATAAAATTTTATATATATATAGTGATGCTCACTTGCTCAGTATTTATGTAGCAATATTCTTGAGGACCATATGTCCTCTAAATGAAAAAGAATGTCACTCAGTTCTAATAAGGTGGATTACATGTACAGCTCTAATTCAATTCTATAAAAAATGTTTTTATATATATATAAAAATTATTTTATTTTTAGTCCACGTGTAAGATTTGAATTTTTCTCAATATAACTTTCTTGTCTAATACTATTAAGTTCATTGGTACATGAATAAATGATAAATAATTTTATTTTAATGATTTAGAATAGTCAAGACTTGAATTTTTTCTAATACATCCTTTCATACTAAGTAATAATAAGCTTGATACATAAATTAATAGTGAACGACCTAACTTTTTAGATAAAAAATTTAGATAACTTTAATACCATCTTAAAATACGAGTTATTAAGTTAATTTAACTCTATAAAATTAACTTGTAAAGTAAAAGTTATTTCTTATATTATATATTTTCTAATTATCTTATCACTTATCAACCTAGAAAGGTTCACACGCTATGCCATAAAAGGATGCAGATCTTCTGCGATTTAAATAAATACTACTGCAATGTAATTACACAAATGGTTAAGCACGGTGTAGTATATGAATTTGAGGAATTCTGATTATTGGCAACTTATTGTGAAATGCTGTGTCCTTATAATGCCATATTTCATTTCCGTCACGCTGACACAAGTAGCGGGAGCTACCTTTTAAGGATAATGACAAGCTAGCATATCTCTAGCAATGTGGGTTTAATATATAATTAATGCAAATATCGTATAAAAATTTATATGATATATGATATATATATATATATATATATATATAGTAATCC